AAAAAAAAAAAAAAAAAAAAAAAAAAAAAAAAAAAAAAAAAAAAAAAAAAAAAAAAAAAAAAAAAAAAAAAAAAAAAAAAAAAAAAAAAAAAAAAAAAAAAAAAAAAAAAAAAAAAAAAAAAAAAAAAAAAAAAAAAAAAAAAAAAAAAAAAAAAAAAAAAAAAAAAAAAAAAAAAGGTAGTAACTTTCCAGGTTTCAAACATACAAAGGAAAATTTTGAAACCTGTTTTAAAAACAAACAAACAAACAAAAAAAAGCCAAAATTAGCTGGTCTTCAGGGTGGATCTTGAAAGCAGCTTGAATGCTATGTAAGTTCACTGAGTCACTTGGAATTCTGTGCATGCAGGCAGCAGACCACAGCCTGAGTACCCAGCAATTTGCACCTCTTGTTTTAGGTTTCAAGCCCTCGTCCTCCTATGTTAGGCCCTGGCAGACAGCTTGGCTATTTGAGCAGAATTACCTAGTGTTCCCACTTTTCCTCACACAATTCTACCATACCTGCCCCCCTCTCACCACTATCTGATGGCAGGGAAAAGTTCACTGCAGCCCCCTCAAGGCAGGGTAACAAACCCTGCTGTCCAAGCACCAGCACTGGTTCTGCAGAGATAGAGGTAGGATTGACTGGAGAGAAGGTCTTTCTAGGAGGCTCAGCAAAGAGCTAATTCTTTGTAAGGACTCTCACTAAAGGACGGTCCTAGTTACAGCTTCTTTCTGAAGAATAAAAATGATCAGTCTGTGTCTTCTGATATACTAGGTAGGTTCAGACTAGAAATGTTTTATTTTCAAATTGCCAGTGTGAATGTTACATTTTTCTACTGCACTGAGAGGAACACACTCCAATAAGCAATTTGTAAGGAAATAACTCAACTACTATCTTTTTTTTTTTTTAACCTAAATCAAAATTGGTTTGTGGTAAACTAGACACAAAAGCCCTACATACGAGAACAGAGCAGTTTAAGCTGTATGTAGGTGTCTTTCGCAGCTTTATTGTTAAAAAAAAAGAAACTATGAAGAAGTTCCTGCTAAATTATCACTGAAATAAAACTCATATTAATAAACCTCTTTCTTTTGTTTGCAGTATTGGAAATTATTCTCTTCTCACTTATGAGCAATAGTTTGAATGAGAATAAAACACATGCTAATTTGGGCTTTTGTTATTTCCCCCAGCTGTGTGTGAGTCGAGTGGTGGGTAGTGCAGTGAGGGCTACACTTGTCACTTTGTCACTTGGAAACTTTATCCTTTTCCTTGTGTAAAAGCTGGACTGGTCCTTGGAAGGCACTTCCTTGATTATCCATAGAGTGGGTGGTGGCCCCTCTGACAGACACTCTGCTATGGGTTGTCTGCTATATTTAGACCCCTACATCAGCATCTAAGGCCTTGTTGTTCAGGTCACTGAATGCAGAGGAAACTATCTAGAGTTAAGTACCTGCATTGCTATGCCCTGTGTGTTGCCTGTCCTGTTCCAGCACTTCCTGTGACTTGCTCAGTTCATCTCCTGTTCTCCCTCAAAGTCTTTATTTCAGGTGGGAAATTGATCCTGAAGAGGGAAGAACACAAGTCGCATATGGATGCACAGGGTGTTCTGTAATTCTTTATCATTCAAGGCCAGGTTGGATGGGGCTCTGAGAGAAACCTGGTCTAGTGGAAGGTATCCCTGACCATGGCAGGGGATTTGGAACAAGGTGATCTTTAAGGTCTCTTCCAGCCCCAAACCATTCTATGATTCTGTGATGTCTTCTCATGAAATTGTGAGCTTGAGAGGGATTTATGTCATATTTTGTATTTTTGTACTACAAATCTGTGGAGATTATTGTAGTTAAATAAAACAAAATTGCTGCAACAGAGAAAAAGCTCCAAGCATTTATAATATCAGCTTTCTAAGCCACAGGATAGTTTTTCATGCTTTAGTGGCAAATGCCTGTACAAAAGAAGCAATGAAAATGTTATGAAAGAGACAGTTTGTTGTGCATGATATAAGCATTTAGCAGAAACCTTGTTTACTCTAAAACTTTAATTGGTTCTACTGAATGCCAAGATTCTTGTTAGACACATAAAATTATTTTAGAAAGCTTAAAAGTATACTGCGTTTTTAAAGAGGATGATGTATTTTTTTAATATTTATTAATATTTTTAATATTAATTTCTGTAAGAATTCCTAGAGTTCTGGGGTACTCTAAAATTAGATATGAACTTGAAAAATTTCCTGTAATGCTGCTATAATAACTATGGTCTTAGGTTATGTAAGACATGGATGTTCACAAAGCCAGAACACCATCCTGAAGTTAGAAAATGTCTTAGCAAGGGAGAGCAAAAGTCTCAATTGCTCTTATCCAGTTGACCTGAACTGTTTGGAGGAAAAAGAGCTGCTTACATTCATGGTAAAACTAGACTAGGCAAGATATATCCTGAAACAAGTATCTGAAACTGGTCAAAGAGTTCCAGTTGCACAACAAAAAGTAGCTGCAAAGTGCTACTTTTTCAGGGAATAATGTGGTTTCTTCCATCATGGAAGAGTACACAAGGCTGTATAATGAACACGCAAAATATTGGCACTGAACTTTCCAGTTTTCCACAAGAGTTTAGCTGAAAGTTACCAAATTTACAAAAAGCGAGATACCACTCTTTACTTAGACCAGTGGTAAATAGTGCTTTCTAGACAAGTTAACATGAGCTGGCAAAGCTGCCTGATACAATTTTCTCTTGAAACGTCAACATTTTCAGGAGAAAGTTTTAATTTTCTTTTTCACAGTTGAGTCAAAAAGGAAATGCAAACAAACTATGGTGAATTACAATGGTCCCATAGACCATTTCTCAGTAATACAGTGAGTTATTCAACCAAGATAAAATCAGACCTTGTTGAAAATCAGGCATAATAGGATAGACCACTAGCATAACTTAGAGCTGTAGCTTTTGTAATAGCTTTGTGAGCAAAATCAGAGATCCTGCATGTGCATTATCTTGCCAGCACTGAGAAATGAGGGTGGATGACGCTGAAGCCTGAAATAAACAGGATTAAAAGTAGCAACTGTTGCCACTAAATGTAACTTTCTTTGGCAGTGATGTTTTTTGACTTGTCTAGCAGGTATGGTTTTATGTGTATTAATTTATGGACAGGCCAGGTACTACATGAAGTATCAAGCTTGGGCTGTCCTAAGAGGAAATAAATGTATAGCTGATTGCTTCTGAGTGAAAAATGTACACACTGCAAATTGAACTTTATTCATGCCTATTGTAATTAGTTACCTGGATAAAATAGCAAACTCTCACCAAAAAAATGGTACACAGACTTTATGGAGTGCCATCAGAGTAGCATCTGCAACACTGTCCATGGTCTGGTCCCTTGCATTCAAAAAGGTCATTCCAGGTGGAATGGAGACTTGCATCTCTCCTTTTCTCATGTGATTGCAACAGAGGCATTTGTTAAATAATGAATGCATTGGCCAGTTTAATATCCTGCTGGCCAGAAATTACTTGTGGACATCTATCACCAAATGCTATCACCAAAACCTTTCTTAGAAATTTCCAAATTGCAAAAGAACAAGGCAAGTTGTCCAGTTCTGGCTGCCCCATCCCTGGAAGTGTTCAATTCCAGGTTGGACAGTGCTTGAGGCAACCTGGTCTAGTGGAAGGTGTCCCTGCCCATGTCAGGGGTTTGGAACTGAATGATCTTTAAGGTTCCTTCCAACCCAAACCATTCTATTATATGATTCAATTATATGATTCTATCTAGTCATATGAAAACAGAATCAAATCTATGTTTTAAAGAAAAATACACTAAAAAAAGTTCTTTACATAGTCTTTAATGCAATCAGACATGATTGAAAATAATTGCATGAACAGAACATTAGTAAACCGATTGTATTTTTTGTTGTAAGTTTATTTTAAGTGCTAAAATATCAGTGTAAGAAAAAATGTCACTGAAGAGGACAGTGGTAAGAAGGGGGTTGAAAATCAGCAACTGGTTCTAAGTGAAACTTAGATACTAAGTTTCAGCATGACTAGATAATTTTTAGCTCTCTATATATATCTTTTGAGTGGGAAGCTGGAATATAGAAACTGAATACTGTTTAATTTTTAAACTATTTAAACCAGCTAGATTAGCAGAAACTAAGTTGGAAGCAAATCCAAGGTGATTTTTTTGTTGGTTTGGTTTGGTTTGATTTTCTTTTGAAGTATCACTGTTTGGGGACTTTCCCTTTGGTGCTGTTCAGAATTTTTTTATTGTGACGCATTTGTTGATGGCTGATCTCTGGCAGATACCAGAGATGCTACTTTGGCTCATCCTTGAATTCTTGGATTAGAGCACTGAGACTTCTATATTCTGTCTTGTTAAATTTATGCTTATTATTTGGGTGGCTGTATGAATGGTGCTATTGCTCATCCACATTGAAATGCAATTAAAAGCCCTTTCCCTAGGGATTAGATTCATCAAGGAATGGGCTGCCCTTTCCCTGGGAACCAAAAATCTTCAAAATCAGAGAGAATGTCCTGTGAAACAATTCTGCTGCAGCTTTTTTGCATTCAGAACATGGGAAATGAGTGTCTGTGTTAAAATTTCCATGAGGAATCACATACTATCTACAAGTACTCTCAAGATCCATACATTACTTACATCTGTGCATTGGGTTACATCTGAACCAACTTACCCTGTCTCTGGATAAAAGTGGTTTTAACCTTTGTCTCTGAATTTTAAGTTTAATTTTCCAGTTTAGATTTAAAAAAAAGGGTTAGAAGATCATAAATAGGAAAAGTCTAATGACTTTTGGTTTTGTTTTCCTAATAAAATGTCATTAAAGGAATACTATGCTACAGAGAAGAGTCAAAGTAGGACAGCAAGAAATGTAAAATAATCTACTAATATTGTGAAAGGCGTTTGGATGCTCTTTAACTGGGCAGTAAGGGAACTATTTTAAGTGTTTCCTTTTGCTTCAAACAGGTGGCTCAAGCATGCTATTTGGAGTTCATTTACAGTCAACAGATTCATGGCTAATAACTTAGAAGTACTTCCTGAAAGTGTTATAGCCAAAATGTGATAAGCCTGAAGCCTGAATTAAGCAGCTTTCTTTTTAAGGAACAAAAAGTACCTACATTTAACCAAAAATGTCTTTTCAAGATCTCACCTGAAATTCACATGAGGAGTTCTAGGATTGAGTGGGTATATTTGCCATATTTATTACATTCAGTGTGCATTAGAAAAACATTAAAGTTTTGCAGCAATGATATTGGTACTTAGGATAGGAGATATAATGCTTTTGTCTTCAATGTGTCTCTTTTTTAACCTGATTTTTCTTTTTTTTTTTAATTACCATCATCCTTCTGCGCTCCATCTCACCTGTGCTTTACAGGAAAATGTAAACCACTTTGCAAATAAGCTGATTTAACCCTCATAATCATTGTACTAAGTAAACATATCCCCTTCTTCTACAGGAAATAGAGATGCAGAGAAATGGTATTGTCTTGAGCAAGCTGTTTACAGCCTGAGATATTGCTGGGATAGAACCCATCATGAAGTCCTGGCTGCACTGGAGTCAGCAGTGTAACTCCTGTTGAGTCCAGCAGAATCAACCCCAGTGTTCCAATTCACAGCCCTCTCCCATTTAGGAATAAACTGGAATAAGCATTGTATTGAGTATTGCAAAGAGTATTTAGTCTGTGTCTTTTCATGTGTTTTGTTCTCTTCTTGCAGAACTGGGGAATAAGAGCTTGTTTGCACTCAGATTCTCCTTCTGCCCAGAGCTGTAGTTTCTGCAGTGAAAAGACCTCATGTGTGTTATGGGTCTGAGCAATGCATCAACCTTAGCATTCATGTCTCACTGTAGCTGAAAAAGAGGGATGTAAGGGATGTAATCTCTCTTTAACTGATCTTTAGGAATACTTTGCAAAACTGGCAAGGAGAGTTCTGAAAATTCTTACAAGGTTTGGAGGTTTACGTGTATTCTTTTGCAGGGAAGTGGGCTCGTTTGGGGGTTTCTTCCTTCCATGAAAGGCCATCACTAGGAATAGTTGGCAATATCCTACAGTTAAGGGGGGAAAATTCTCACAGGAATTAAGATAAATATTGGATCTTTCAAAATATGCATTTTTAAACTAATATTTCATCCCAAAACAGTGTATTTTTTTTCTTTTTGTTAAAGCCTCTGCCTCCTTGCAACGAGTCTAAGGAATCTATGCAGGTGTATAAACAGCACTGCAAAATAGCAGAAGAGTACCATGAAGTCAAGAAAGAAATTGCTCTGCTGGAAGAAAGAAAGTAAGTAAATTTCCCAAAGGATTTACTGTTGTATAATCTCCTTGTAAAATCCTGTTTTAAACGTGAGGTTTTCACATAATGTTTTCCGACCTTATATACATATATACTTACATATGTATATACTTATATACACACACACCTTATAATTGTGACCTTCCAGTACATGAAAGGAACCTATAAGAAAAGTGGAGAGAGACTATTTACAAGAGATAGCAAAAGGGAGAATGGCTTTAAACTGACAGAGGCCAAGGTTTGGATATTAGGAGGATGAGATATTAGGAAGAAATTTTTCCGTGTGGGGGCGATGAGGCGCTGGCACAGGTTGCCCCATCCCTGGAAGTGTTTGAGGTCAGGTTGGATGGGGCTCTGAACAAGCTGGTTTTGTGGAAGGTGTCCCTGCACGTGGCAGGGGGATTGTTACTGGATGATTTTGGGGTCCCTTCCAACCCAAACCATTCTATCATTCGTATGACTCTGTGATTCTATACCAGACCTCTGCCTGACAGTCACAGTACAAATAGGCCATTGCTCCATAGGATCAACTGGACTCACTAAGAGCTGTCACAGTTCCAGACCCTCACCAAAGTGTATGCCCCTTAAAACCTTCACTGACAGCCCCCAGGTCACATAACAATCCAGTTCAACTGGTGCAAATCTCCTTTTTGATGTTAGGGAATTTTTTTTTTTTAAATTTTACTTTATACGTCTTCATGACCAATGTAACAGATCCTCAGTAAGGCTTAGAGTGCTTGACAATACTGGTAGATGTGTTTTTGTGAGTTGCACTGTTTCTGTACACATTGGCATTTTAGGTGTTTGTATCCAAAGTGCATAAGCTGGAGACTTTTTTTCATGTCTGTGGCCTGTACACACAGCCCTGTCATCCTTTGCATGGCTGTTAGATGGCAAAGTGCACGCTGTGGCTCTCAGTCCATCTCCACAAGAAACCTAAAAAAGTAATTCAGAGAGGGGAAAGAGGGTGAGTAGTGAAATCCCTACCCAGCTGACCCAGCTGAAGTTCAGCCACGTTTGCATCCATGGGAATCTTTAGCTGCAGAATCAAGCTAATGGGAGGGAAATTACTGAAAACCTGTGTTCTTACAAGATAGCCAAAGAACTCCCTGAATCCAAACTATGCAGGGTAAGAAAGTGAGATGTGTTTGTGGGGGTTGATGGCTACAGTCACAATATAGTTACATTTGGCTTAAAGTGTCAGAGCTGCTTGAGGTTTCCCACTACAAATCCTCTTCCACTGAAGGATCTGTGTGGCACTCAGGTTCTGACAAACTGGCACAAAAGAGAAGAAAAAATAGCCAGAGGAGAATAACACTACATTGTCCCTGCATGGAAAAAAAGGCATGAAAATGCAGTGTTTGGATTTGATTCATCATTCCTGATGAACCTGATCAATCAAATGTAATTGGTACATTTGGAAAGATGAGGAAAAGATAATTAATTCAAATAATTTTGCAATGATTTGTCAAATATGGTTGTCTAATATAAGCCACTTACATATGTATTTAGTAATCAAGTGAATTCAGTGGAAACCCATGTGACTTTTTCTATTCTGAAAATCCAAATAGAATGTAAAATATTAAATGGTCATTTAAGTGCTTGACTTTATATCTATAAACCCAAAAGGTGGCCTTAGATCATTTGGATCATTTGGATTTTAGAGTCTACTGATAAAAATCCATTATTATTACTGACACATCCTGGAATCAGTTATGGCTATTGATGAAGTATGCTTGAAGCCTCTATAAACTAGACATTCATATTATTATTATTATTATTATAACTATAGACATTTATATTATTATTTTTGCACTTTCTTAAATGAAAAATATATCCTGTTTGAATGCCATCTTTTAACCTATGGAGTCTGTGGTACTAGCTGAATTAGAAATACTTAGCTTCTTGACAATGGCAGGTACATGCACAAAATTGTTTACCAGAGCTCACAGCTGTCCTAATCAACTTCTGAGCCCAGGTGTCAGCCTCTCTGCAGTGATTACTCTGAATCAATTCATGGGCTTCAGGCTGGAATTTTTCTTCATTCCACCAGTGGATGACAACAACGAAACAATGCCAGGATGTTTCCACCACTGCTACCTCTGCTGAACCTGTTCTGTGGATTCCATGCCCCAGTAAACACATGTTAAGAATGGCTGAATAAGGCAACAAATGGAATTATTTTACTGTGATTCTTATGTGCCTTCTAATTACATATTTGTGGCCTTGTGTTCACATGCTGTATAGCTGTGAAATGCCTAAACATGACAAATATCAGTGCAGCACCTTTCGCCACTGCCCATGTCTCTTAATCTGAAGACGTGGTCCTAGATCACCGGGATCAAAGACGTGCAATTTCCTACAGATTGGTGCACTGGTTGCTTGATTTTGAGCTTTAACAAGCTGCAAGTGCCAACTGAATTTTTTTTTTCTCCAAATGTAAACAGTTTATAACTTCCCCTCCAGGTAGATTCTCTATTTTGTAGTATTTTGGAGCAGGTCTCATGAGACCGACTTTCCCAGCTGGGGTAATATTCCTTTCTGTAGCAGAAAGGAATGTTTTTACTTTCTGTTTTAATAAACCTTCCAGAAACTAACTGGGACCTCTTCACTGCATGAAGTTTGGTTAAAATTGGAAGGGGGATTAGAAAGTTATTAGGACACATACACTTTTACACACATGTAGGCTTACAAACCTGAGCACACTTATGTAGTTATATACACCTAATTATTGCAGCATTTCAGTACCTGAAGGGAGCCTACAAGAAAGATGGAGAGAGGTTATTTACAAGGGCATGTAGAGATAGGACAAGAGAGAATAGCTTTGAACTGACAGAGGATAGGTTTAGATTAGATAGCAGGAAGAAGTTCTTCCTTTCTGAGGGTATTGAAGCACTGGCACTGGTTGCCCAGAGAAGCTGTGGTTGCCCCATCACTGGAAGAGTTGAGCGTGACATTCTTAGAATGGATGCTTTGACTTTTTAGAAAAGTCTGATGAGATGGACAAGCTTGGAACCTCAAAAGTAGTTCTGATCAAATTGAAAAGATGGCATTTGGAGCTTTCTGAAATTTGCCCTTGTTGTGGGTGTCTTTATCTTCTACCTTTGAATTTAAAACTGGAAAATGGAAATAAAGATCCACAACTGCCTAATGCACCTGTTATCTATTGTCTATTCCACTGAAATACTACTTTGATAAAATGTACAATGATCGAGTTTCATCCCTTTTAATGGGAACAAACAGCTTTATAATGTTGTTCAGTGTTCGTTTTTCCCAAATGCAACCACAATTTCTGTTGGATGATACCCTTGCCAGTGCTCCCATCTTCGCTGCACAGATAACTCAGCTGTGTAATTACAATGGCAAGTCACACCTCGCAGTTTCTGCATTGGTGGTGCCTGCTGATAGAACACTGTGCACACAGAATACTGAAGGCTATGACTGACAGGAGAAAAAAAAAAAAAAAAAGAAAATGGATGGAGCAAATATTTTCTATATGTTGGTAAGGTAACGTTAAGTTAAGCTGGCATAAATATCTATAGCAGTGTCAGACCTTCTTAGTACAAAAAAAAAAAAAAAAGTAATTAAGTTCATTCTACTTTAAACAATATTTGTTCCAGCCTTCAAGCCTCAGTGTCACCTTTATACGTGAAAGAATATATGCAGGTATATTTCTAAAGGAGGTATCTTTAAGAAATAGAAAGTTGAAAAACATCGTTTTAAAATAGTCAAAAATATTTAATCTTTTACAACTTTTCAAAGGCTTAGCTTGACTTTTCTCTCACTGAATTGTGAGCATCAGGTATGGCCAAAGTATCAAAAGTCATTGATGTGAGGAGGATTGCTTTTCATCAAGGCAAGAACAGAACTTATTTGCCCTTTCTCTTGTATGCAGTGTAGATGGTGTAAGAATGTATTAGGCTGGGAGTGGGAGAGAAGATGACAACTATTTCACAGGAAGATGGGAAATGTGTGAGGGAAAAAGAGGCTGCAGTTTCAAAAAAGGGAAAATAAAAGGACAAAAGCAAATAAGAAGGGTAAAAGAAGTTACTCAAGAAGAAGACCAAAAAAGGAAGTAAGAAATTGAAAGAATTTAAAAGAAGACTGAGTAGATTTTTTTTTTTTTTGCTAATATAGTCATAGCTTTGTTTGCTCTCTTCACTCCAACTCTTCCCATTTATGCCAGGAATATGTAGTACAAGGGAAAAAAATCACTGTGGAATGGGAGACACGATTGAAAATAAAGAAAAGGGTGTGGAAGCGAGAGCACACCACATTTAGGGCGCAGAATGTAATTTAATTTATGTTCCAGAAACACACATGTATTTCCATAACAGATGTTTTGGGGTATCTAAGTTTGGGTGAAAGGGGTGGGATGGTTGGTTATTTTGAGCACTTGTTATATTGCTATTACTAGATAATGACCCTGGATTATGTAGTTAAATATTAGAGTTGCCATGGTTGCTAGCTGTGTCTTATATTCTTAGCACTGGCTGGTTATCGCTTTTTCCTCCCCCAGACAATTCTAATATAACTCTCCAGAAAATATCATTTGATCACCACCTGGTTTAGGATCACTCCTTTTCTTTGCCACGGGTATGACTTCTTTTCTCCTTTTGCACATGTCACAGTAGACATAGAATCATAGAATCATTAAGGTTGGAAAAGACCTTTAGGATCATCAAGTCCAGCCATCAACCCAGCACCACCACCACGTTCGCCATTAAACTACGTCCTCAAGTGCCACATCTACATGTTTTTTAAACACCTCCAGGGATGGTGACTGCACCACTTCCCTGGGCAGCCCATTCCATAGCTTGACAACCCTTTCCAGAAGAAGTTTTTCCTAATAATGTGGGAAGTGAAGACGATCTTATGGCCACCAGAACACAGACACGTATTAGCTGTGAAGAAATGTGTGATGCCACAGATGATCCTAAATACATTATTCACAACTGGGGAAAGACAAACCTGACTCTTTGTACTCTGGAAGCTGTTTTCCTTGTGTCCCATCCATCTCTAAATATACTCATCTCCAGACAGATTTATCTGCTTAGTCTGTCACTTTTCTTGGTATTTATTCATTGTGAATATTAGTGTTAAGGAGCTCTGTTGTCTGCATGGTCAGTCATTAAGGCCAAGAGAAATAATTTCCCTAAGACCATGCTGTGTTTGTCTCCTGCTCTGGCATGGCTTGTGGTTTATGATTCAAATCACATTAATGTTCCCTTCCCTCACAAATCCCTCACCAAAAAAGAACACTTAGAGTGTACCTTACAGATTGTCTCAAAGCTTTGAGTACCTCAGCACCAGTTTAGAAAATACCTTATCAATACTGTTAATATTTAAACTTGAGGTAGCCATTAACAGAAAACACAGATTACACAGTGCTAGACCTATTTATTAAGCATCTGTAACAAAGGCTACATGGTGCAAGAGCTTAGTGTGGTGTTCTTTAACCTCTGGAAGCTAAGTTCAAATCCTGGATTAGATCAGAAGCAAATGTTACTGTCCTCATCCTTTTGTGAGCTTCATAAGCTACACCATTCATAACATTTAGCAATTCCCTGGTACTCTAATTTTAGATCTGTGGCAAGCTGACAGTATTTGCCTGAAACACCTCCCTACCCTGTAAACAGGTGTTGATCCTGATGGGAAGGGAATAAGCAGGTTCTGCTGACTCAGAAGTGAGCAATTTTACTACAGAATCACAGAATAGGCTGAGTTGGAAGGGACCCACAAGGATCCTCCAGTCCTGGTCCTACACAGGACCATTCCCAAGAGTCACACCATGTGCCTGAGAGTATCGTCCAAACGTTTCTTGAACACTGTCAGGCTTGGTGCTATGACCACTTCCTGGGGAGCCTGTTCAGTGCCCAGCCACCCTCTGGGTGAAGAAACTCTTTCTAATATCCAGCCTGTAGCATTTATCGACTTCCAGCACAATCTCATGGGTGGTCAATCAATAACACAGACGTGCAGCTGTACACACAAGTAGCTACATAAGTAGCTACTTGACAGTTTACTGGAAATTAGTTATTTGGACAGCTGTTTGCCTCCAATGTACTGGGAGACAACTGGAGAGACCATCCCAAACAGAAAATACAGGAACGAAGGCTGAATTGCTCTTTTCTGCCCAGACAGTGCTACTGGATCACAGAATGAGTGCAAGGAAACTGCTTTCTGTGAGGGAGGTTCTAGAGTACAGCAATATTTTTATTTTAGCACATTTATAGCTTAATAGCAAAGGTAAATCCCTGGGGGGGAAATAGTTACCCGTTTTGCTTGAATATTACTAAAGAGCAGCATGAATGCCATGCCTCCACAAAGTCTCATCAAATCAGGACTGACATTCATTGATTGAGTTGTCCGAGTTTGCACATTGTCTGTCTGTGCCACTCCTGGCTCAAGTCCAAATAGAGTAGTTAGTACCATTCTTTTTCAAGTACTAAAAGTCACCGCAGAAAAGATTTGCCTGCTTTGAAGATGCTGATTACTTGTTAGTGTGTTCACTGCATCTCTCTTTAAGAATCTCATAAGTGTACAAAAGTAAGGAAGAATGATTCTGAATCCATTTCTTTGGACACTTCTGTTTTAACAGTCTGTAATTTGAAAGAGCTTAATTTAATCCTTCAGTCCAGCACTGCATCAGAGAATAACTGGGAAGAAATATTGCTGACACTCTCTCTTGGTCTCCAGAAACAAAAATCTTCCAGAGGAAGCCCTTGAGAGACTGAAGTGATAAAAGACTTGTAAAACCTCATTGTCCCTAAATGTATTTTTCACTTTCTAAAATACTTCTCCATGGCCTCTGTCCCATCAATAAGAGCTGTCTAGCAAAATCATCTTGGCCCCTTTGAAAACTGGTGGATCTCGCATGGCCCAGCCAAAGAGAAACAAACCTGTTAATGGCTTGCTGCTTTTCAAAGTTTTACCACTATGTTGTGTCGGATGTAAACAGAATTTTGCTGAGCTAAAATATGCTCTTGATGTTTTCTCTCAAGGGCCTGACTGGATACACCTTTCACCTGGTGAAAGGAAAGAGGCTTTGCTGCAGCATAGCTGCTCTGCGTTACCTCAACGGTATAAAACAAAGCCAGCATATTTAAAAGCTATAGGAGGATGCCTCTATATTGCCTCTTTGGGATGATTTAAAATCTCTGTAATGGCTGCTAACTCTTTTTTATTATTATTTTTTCAATGGGAAGCATAGCTGGGAGAAATGGCTGCGCCAAGAGTCTCTTCTAACTTTGTGACTCCTTGAACTGCAGTAACTGCGGCTGTAAACCACGGGCAAACTCTGCTATCACTGAAAGCTGCAGTAAAGACAGAGGAAGGTCAAATTGATCCTAAAAGCAGCCTAGACAGAAGTGTTTTTCAAAACCCAGGTGCTTTTGCTGCTGTAAGTGGTAGCTTTGCAGCTACAAGTAACGTAAACGATCAGCAAATACAGAAATGTTATCTTTTCGTTAATACTCTGACCTGTGGGAATAGAATTACAGATCTGTAGGAATTTCCTGTCTGAAAGCACAGGTCCAGCCTGACAAGAGGGCTCCTTTAAGGACTGCAGCAAAAGCTACCCACTTCGAAGGTACTAACATCTTCCCACTGATGACCTACAAGCACTGTTTTGATATGACTGAGAAATAAAGTCACAGGGCTATGAACCGTTAAAGATTAACTAATCTCTGAGATAGAATGATCAAAAGAACTAAGAACCTTTTAGAAGAGACTTCCTGTAGCAAGGGTGAATTTTTGACTTAAAGGGAAAAAAACCT